CGGGCGGGTTACAGGTTAAACCCGCAACCTGCAAAAATCGCCCGCACTTTAATTATTATTATTTTTATTTTTTATATACCAACTTTGTAACTTTAACCGGAGCACCATTATGTTCTCTATGAGGCTAGGATCTTTATTTTAAAGTATTTCTCAACTTTCTTAATGCGGTAGAATTATCAAGTCATAAACTTGGTTTCTTATATGATTTTCATTGGTGATTCATCCACTTTTTCCTAATAAAATTTTCCTTCTAGCGGTCGATGGAACTTCTAGTTTGATTATTGATTACTGAACTGGCAATTCTAATTGAGTACGACCTTTAATGCATTGATATGTATTTTTTTCATGGTAAAAATACTAGTGTAGATTCTTTTTATTTTGGGTACTTTCATTTAATGCATTGATATTCAATTTTTATTTGTAAACTCATCACAAATATATAAAATGAATCTGATGCCTAAATTCGATGGGAAAAAAGAAACTCAAAAATTAATTTTTAAAGAAAAAAGTGTAAACCGCAAATCGTTCGCAATCGTCCGCACATCTGCAAATTCTATGTGCACAAACCGCAAACCGCACTGCGGGCGGTTGCAAATTGACAGTTTCCCAAACCGCATAAATGCAAGCGGGTCAAAACCAAACCATAAACCGCACAAAACCGATCCACGAGCACCCTGCAATGTTATTTTGTATTTTTGAAGATTTTACCACATATATACAATGAACATTGTGCTGCTAGAAAGAATGGAACACTGAACCTTCCCCACTACTCACACATCATCACCACCGCCCAATTTCCCTCTCTGTGCCGTTTTGAACATTTTAATCCCATTTTAGGGTGTGTTTTTATCTTTATTCCCACAATAGGGTAAAACGGTTTTTCTAATGCCGTTCTTCAGAAAACGGTTTTTACAAAACCGTATTCATCAATTAAAATAATAATAAAATTTGAAAATAGAAATCGGCTTTTCTAAAGCCGTTTTTAATTAAGTTTTTAATTATTCTGAATTAATTAAAAACGATTTTCGTAAAACCGTTTTCCCATTAATTTTTTTTTTAATTTATATTTTAAACATAAATATTTTTTGTTCAAATTTTTTTTTAATGAAAACCGGTGTTAGAAAAGCCGTTTTTCAACATTATTATTTTTTTTAATTTATATTTTCAACATAAATATTTTTTGTTGAAATTTTTTTTTTAATGAAAACCGGTTTTAGGAAAGCCGTTTTCAACATTAAAATTTTTTTTATTTATATTTTCAACATAAATATTTTTTGTTCAAAATATTTTTTTAAAAAAACCGGTTTTAGAAAAGCCGTTTTTACATTAATTTTTTTTAAATAAATATGTTATGAGCAAAAATATTTTTTAATAAAAAACTGTTTTAGAAAAATCGTTTTAGAAAAACCGGTTTCACATTAATTTTTAATTTTTTAAAATTTATATTTTCAACTTAAATATGAAAACTACCAAATTTTTTTTTAATAAAAAGTGGTTTTAAAATATAAAGTTTTTACATTAATTTTTTTAAATTTATATTTTCAACATAAATATTTTTTGTTCAAATTTTTTTTTTAATAAAAACCGGTTTTAGAAAAGCCGTTTTTACATTAATTTTTTTTAAATAAATATGTTATGAGCAAAAATATTTTTTAATAAAAAACTGTTTTAGAAAAATCGTTTTAGAAAAACCGGTTTCACATTAATTTTTAATTTTTTAAAATTTATATTTTCAACTTAAATATGAAAACTACCAAAATTTTTTTTAATAAAAAGTGGTTTTAAAATATAAAGTTTTTACATTAATTTTTTTAAATTTATATTTTCAACATAAATATTTTTTGACGACAAATATTTTTAATAAAAATTTTCAAAATTTCAAAGTGTTTACAAAACCCACCCTGGAGTGGGAATAAATATTTTATGTTTTAAATATTTATTTATTTTTTTAATGTGCACTATATTTCGGGGCTTTTCCCATATTAAGCCAAATTATCATCTTAATTCTCAAACTAGGCCTAGTTTGGACGGAATTTCCAAATTAGGCTAAAGCGCTATTACAAAACACGCTTTCTCTGTTTGGGGCCGAAAATTTGATAGACATTGAAAGCTTAATACAAATAAAAGTGTATTTCTCCACAAATAAATTTTGTCAACATTTTTGTACAAATAAAAGTGTATTTCTCCACTTAAAAAAATTAATGCAAAAACGGCTTTTCTAAAACCGGTTTTCATTAAAAAAAAATTTTGAACAAAAATATTTATGTTGAAAATATAAATTAAAAAAAAAATTAATGTTGAAAAACGATTTTTCTAAAACCGGTTTTCATTAAAAAAAAATTTTGAACAAAAAATATTTATGTTGAAATATAAATTAAAAAAAAATTAATTGAAAAACGGTTTTACGAAAAATCGGTTTCTATTTTCAAATTTTATTATTATTTTAATCGATGAATACGGTTTTATGAAAACCGTTTTTATGAAAAAGGGCATTAGAAAAATCGTTTTACCAGAATAAAGATAAAAACACACCTTAAAATAGGACTAAAAGAGGGAAATTGGCCCATCACCACCACCGTCAGCCCCAAAAGTACCCTCGTCTCTCTCTCTTTCTGTGATAAAGCAGCGTAGTCTGAATCTGAAAACCATTGAACCATGATCGGTCACCGATCCATGCTGCGATTCTCGGGCCGCCCAGGGTTGTTTGATCGAGCTATTCGGGTCTTCAGCCCCAGATCTGAAATCCCTTTCAAAACCCTCTCTCATCGGTCCCTCTTTCAAATCCCACAAATATATGGTGTTCCAGGCAAGTCTGTGTTTGGTTAAATATTTTGTCTTTATTCAACTCTGTTTTTTAATCTCATGAAAGCTATGTGTTGTCTTTGTGCTTTGTTTGGTTAATTTGTTGTCTAGAATCTAGTTTATGTTCGTCCATTGTTTTCTCAGTTACCTACCAGAGTGTTAAATGCTGCCAATAGGTCTATAGAGTGAACCCATTTTGAGATAATTTGTCTTATCAAAAAAAAAATAAAAATAAAAAATTAGCTTTTGAAACAGAAGTAATATGGAGATATGCAACTGAAGAAATACAGTGATAGCTAATTACCCAAAATATTGTTTCATGGGGTGTTTTTGGATGCTCTTTATTAACATTTCTATTGTTTTTTGTGTGTTTTTATAGCATTTGATTAGACTCCATTAAAATGACGGTTCTATTGTATTTCAAATTATCATCATATTTGAGACGGCTGTGATTTTTGTAGATTATCCTGGCCATTGTAATGAACTCTTGACTTTGGAATGTACAAGAAGAGTGTGTTTGATTAGCTGGATTAATAGTGAGGGGATTAACAATCAATGAGATTAGTGTAGGATTGGTTATTTAGTTGAATTAGTGAGATTATGAGATATATATTTTCCTCTTGTTTTTGTCTGTTTTGCAATAGATATGAAATTATATAATTCCAATTATATGTATATTTTGCATTATTAGTTGTAAGATTTAAAAATCCGTCAATTTTGTTGAATAGCATGGCCTTGGAATCTAGTCTGAATAAGATTCAAGTGAATGTGACTATACTGGCTGGTTATTCGAAAATCATGTAGCATTAAATGAGATGACATTATTGAAGAGAATGGTTGTATTGCCATTTCAAATTATATCGGAGATGGTTGTGATTATTTCTAAATGGCCTCGGTCACTTAATGAATTCCTGCTTTTTGAACTTACGCGTAGCATATTGATGGTTTCAGTTTGTTTGGGGTATGTGACTGTGACCTCACTGCCTTTTTATCTTAAACACTTAGGTTTCTCATGAACCCATGTGAGAAGTTGGTGTGGGAATAAGGAAAATGCTAATTGTTTGGATTTTCGTTGGAGAAATTGTGTTCGCTTGGGTAGTGATGAAATTTTTTTGGCTTTTGCAGGTTTGGGGGATTTGAAATGCAGGTCTTATCTCCATAGCGATGTTTCAGCTGCAGCTAATCACAATGCTGTACCTCAAATCTTGGGAGCAAGTTTCAGGCATTTCATACATTCTTCAAGTCATAAGGAGTTTGAGACAGCAAGGAACTCTAGATCCATGAATTTTGTGAGGGGAATAATAGAGGAAGAAGGAAAGGGCGTTATGGGCAGTTCTCAACTTTCTCGGTATGTTGTTGAGAACAATGCAGATATTGTCCATATAAAGCTGCTTCGCAACAATACCTTTGTCACTGTGACAGATTCCAAGGGGAACAAAAAAATTGGGGCTTCCTCGGGATGTTTGTCAGAAATGAAAGGAGGGCCTAAACTTTCTCGATATGCTGCTGAAGCAACTGCAGAACATGTTGGTCGGCTAGCAAGGAATTTGGGACTGAAGTCTGTCGTAATGAAAGTGAACGGATTCACTTATTTCAAGAAAAAGAAGCAAGCAATCGTGAGCTTCAGAGAGGGCTTTACCTTTTCTCGAGGTGATCAAAATCCCATAGTGTACATTGAGGACACAACTCGAAAACCCCACAACGGATGCCGACTCCGAAAGAGACGACGCGTATAAACTGAAAGCTTGATGATGCTCATTTGTATGAGGCTTATAGTGATGCTTTAGTTAAATGGAGCAAATAAGTGGTTTTAAATTGTTTTAGGTTGCTGGTGTAGTTGTTTTGATTGGAAAGCAAGAATTGTGGTGAGTGACACTGAGGGGCTACTTAGCATGGCCTATTTGAACTCATTGTGATGTTTATTTTCAGCTAAGTTAGTAAATTTAGAATTTTGTATGCCTGTTTTGAAAATCATTTTCTCATCTCAGTATCCACTTCGTTTTAACCCACTGTGGGAGTTGGTTGAATGCAATGGGAAATTTTCTTGATTTTTATTGTACTTCATCATGGAAGAAACTACTACAGGCTGCTAAGGCTTAGCATTTGATGGGACTTCCTGATTCTAAATTATTCTGTTGGCAATTGTTCGACTTTTAGTTCATAACATGCATGAATTGCATTAGTGAATTTGAAGTAAAGATAATGGACATGAATTGTTTTAAACATTTTCTTTGTTATTGCCATCTCTTGTCTTTGGTGAATAATGAGGCACTTTGGCATCTTTACATTAACATATTTTTTTTTTATCTTTTTTGAGTTACATTAGTTATTTATTTTTGTACGTATTTTTTTATAAAAAATTTAAAAATATATTTATTTAGATTATCTCAAACATTCTCTAATATTACTAGGAAAATGAAGATGAAAGGGCCCACGTAGTTTCCTCGAACCCCTCGATCAGCCACTACCCTCATCCCATGTGTTCACTGTATTTGTGAAGTCTTTATCAAACGGAAGACGAGTATGATTAGTCAATTTCACATTGTTTGTGAGGCCGTTACATTGATTTAATTAATGGAAGACTCTCGTTAGTCAATCTCACATTATTTATGGAACCACTCCATTGATTCAATTAAAAAAAGAATGTATTTTGTTGACATTGTGTGAATAAATTTATATTCACACGGGAAGGCATGTAAACGATGTATATGAGTAAGTTCCTAACAAAGGCAATTGTTTTTCCAAAGTATTCGGCCAAGTTGTCTACTTTCACAATTAATTATTGTATTATGAAACCTTTCTTTTCTTGATACATCACCTCTCTGGTCATTCTCATCACTTTTTTTTGCAAGGCATCTGCAATTTTTAGAGCTTACCTTTGAATTGAATTCAGATATCTAGCTAGCAGGTGACCGTGACTGCCTCATTTCTTCCTTTCGTGCTTCAGAATCTCAACTCCTTGATCCAAAAGGAAGTGGGCTTGATTTGTGGGGTTGAAAAGGAGATGAAAAAGCTTTCAAGCACTCTCTCCACGATCCAGGCTGTCCTCGACGATGCTGACCAAAAGCAACACCAAAACAAAGCAATACAGGATTGGTTGAGAAAGCTCAGTGATGCAGCCTACGAGGTTGACGACATCTTGGATGAGTGCTCAACTGAAGCTCTCCGATGGAGATCTAATGACCAGAATTCTGTTTCTCTGAGGAAGGTAAGCACTTCTTTGTTCACTTGTTATCCTGTTGAGAACATCGTGTTCCGTCACAAGATAGGGAATAAGATAAAAGATGTCATGGAGAACTTAAATGCAATTGTCGAAGAGCGAAAGAATTTTCATTTAACTGAGGTGGTTGTAGAGCAGCGAGTTGAATTTGCTGAAATACACGAAACCTGCTCTGCTTTAACTCAACCACAGCTTTATGGAAGAGAAGAAGATAAAGAAAAGATTGTCCAAATCTTGGTTGAGCAAGTATGCGATCGCCAAGATGTTTCTGTCTACCCTATGGTTGGTATGGGGGGGGCTTGGCAAGACAACACTTGCCCAAATGGCCTTCAACGATGAGAGGGTAAAACGGCATTTTGAGCTTAAAATTTGGGTTTATGTTTCTCAGGATTTCAATGTGAAAAGTGTGATAAAAACAATAATAGGATCCATATCTGGGAAAGCATGTGAAACCTCAGACCTAGATTCTCTGCAGAAAAACCTTCGCGAGATGTTGGATGGAAAAAGATATTTGCTTGTATCAGATGATGCGTGGGACGAAGATCAAGAGAAGTGGGATGGGTTGAAATATTTACTAGCATGTGGATCAAAAGGCACTTCCATTATCGTCACTACTCATCTTGAAAAGGTTGCATCAATCATGGGAACTATCCCACCCCATCACTTGCCATGTTTATCTGAAGATGATTGTTGGATGTTGTTCAGGCAACGAGCATTTGGACACAGGAATGAAGAGCATCCAAACCTTGTGGCCATTGGGAAGGAGATAGTGAAGAAGTGTGGGGGTGTGCCTTTGGCTGCAAAGGCCCTTAGAGGGCTAATGCGCTTCAAAAGTGAGGAAAAAGAATGGCTTTCTGTTAAGGAAAGTGAAATTTGGAACTTGCACCACAAGGAAAATACCATATTGCCTGCCTTGAGATTAAGTTACTACAATCCTCCATTGGAATTGAGACAATGTTTTGCTTATTGTGCCATTTTTCTAAAGGGCTCTAGAATTGAAAAGGAAAATTTAATTGATCTTTCGATGGCTAATGGCTTTATTTCGTCCAATGGACAATTGGAGTTGGAAGATATTGGAAACGTTATATGGAATGAGTTACACTGGAGATCTTTCTTTCAAGATTTGAACAAAGATCAAGTTAACACCATTACTTGCAAAATGCATGATCTTATGCATGACCTTGCCCAATCTGTTACGGAACATGAATGTCATGTGATGGAGGATAAAAGCTCAAGTAATATATCAAAGCAAAGAATTCATCATATTACATTGGTTAGTGAGTCGATGAAGACAGGTGTTTTTCCTGAAGCATTGCATGGAGTTGAATCCTTACGAACAATTTTTCAACAATGCAGACATCCAATTCTAAACATGAGATGTGATGGTATTGTACCTTTTTCTTCTGACTTTAAAAATTTTGGTTCTCTACGAGTGTTCAATGCAAATGCCATTAACATGGTGCAATCATCATCTTCTATTGGCAATTCAAAACATCTAAGATACTTGAACCTTTCTTATACTTCCATTCTAACACTTCCAAAGTCAATTTGTAGCCTCCACAATTTGCAAACTTTAAACCTAAATCATTGTTATGAGCTTCAGAGTCTGCCCAAGAACATGAAGTACCTAAGGAGCCTCCGAAATCTTTATTTGAATATTGTTGGAAAATACAGGACATGCCTCCAAAGCTTGGGCAGCTAACTCTCCTGAAGAGATTAAGTCTTTTTGTTGTGGGTAAGAGTAGAGGTTGTCGGGCTGCTGAATTGCAATGCTTAGATCTTGGAGGAGAACTGCATATCTTGCACCTTGAGAGAGTGAGAAACCCAACAGATGCTAAAGAAGCCAATTTGATAGGAAAACAGAATCTTCGCATCATCAAGTTGTCGTGGGGAGATAACAGTGAATCTGAATCGCAAGCAAACATTGAACAAATACTTGAAGCCCTGGAACCTCACCCAAATGTTGAAGAGTTGATCATTGACAAATACAGAGGTGCCCACTTCCCACTTTGGATGGGGGATTCAATTCTTACAAATATGGTTTCTATTGCATTACTTGATTGTAGAAAATTGCTAATACTTCCAGCGTTCGGGCAGTTGGCTTCCTTGCAAAAACTTATGATACATAGAATGGATTATGTGGAGTACATTGATAATGACTTCCCTGGCGAAGGCCGGCTAGAAGATTCCCGTCTTTGGAAGACCTCAGTATTGTGGATTTGCCGAATTTGAAAGGGTTGTCAAGGGAGGAGGGAAGAGAGCTACTCCCTCGTCATCGCAAAATAAGCATCAAGAATTGCCCTAAATTGACCTTGCCTCATCTTTCATCACCTGAAAGTTTGTATGTCTCAAGATGCAGCAACGTGACGCTAAGTTCAATCTCAAATCTTATTTGTCACACTTCACTTACAGTTTGTCACGACGACAAGGTGATTTCTTTTCCAGAAGAGATGTTTCAAAACCTAAATGCTCTTGAATCTCTATACATTGAAAGGTTTAGCAAATTGAAAGTGCTGCCTACAAACCTGGAAAGCCTTGTATCTTTGAAGTCATTGTGTATCCATTCGTGTCATGGGCTTGAGTCTTTGCCAGAACATGGGCTACGAAGCTTAAAGTCTCTCCAACATCTGGAGATTAATCGCTGCAATAATTTGAGTTCTTTATCGGAGAGTTTGGGACACCTCACTGCCCTGGAGAAATTGGAAGTTTATGGGTGTCCGGAGCTAGTGACTTTGCCAGAGAGCATTAAACATCTTATTTCCCTACGACACCTAATCATTAAAGGTACGCCCAAATACTCCCAACCGTTTGATGTTCGTTGTGAAAAGTTGAAGACTTTGCCAGAGTCATTGCAACATATCCCCCTACTGCAATCTCTATCCATCTCTCAGTATCCAGAGTTCACATCACTGCCTGAATGGTTAGGAAACCTTACATCACTTCAATCATTGCACATTGAGTTCTGCTGCAAGATTTCATCACTGCCACATAGCTTTCAAAGCCTATCCAAACTCCAAAATTTGGACTTTTTTTTTTGCGGTCCTGAATTGAAAAGGCGACGTCAAAAGGGAGAGGGGGAAGATTGGCATAAGATAGTACACATTCCAAAAGTTGATGTAAAATAACCAGCTCTTGCAGCAAACAGAATAGTAAACATGGAATCTATTCTTTGATCATGTGGGAGTGAAGTGAGGAAACGGATATCAGATCAAAATGGAAAGGAATGTGCAGAAAACATGTGGACATTCCATATAGATCAAGGTAAATTCTCTTTTACTCATTCTAATGTTTTATGATATGCTTGTTAACTATAGCATGCGTGCTACACATCAGATTTAATGTGTAGATTTCATTGATTCTTTGATTATTTGAATAGAAATATTGACACCCTTTTATTAAATCCAATATATCTTTCTGTATGTTTCTTAAAATGATTCTTCCATATCTGCTAGTTGGTTTGCTAGTTGGTCAAATTAGTAGTAGAATGATATTAAACAACAAAGGGTAAATTACACTTAGTACCCCCACTCTTCCACCAAAAATCTTACTTTAGTCCATTCACTTTCAATTATAACAGTCAACCCTTTACATTTTAAGTCAAGTTACAATCTCACCCTTTCATCCATCTACTATTAACAAAATTGATGAAATTTGTCATTTGAATTGTCTCATTAGCACCCTTGCACTTCTATTAAAATCTCACTTGAGTCCTCTCACTTTCACGAAAATCTCAATTTAACCCCTCCACTTTCAATTTCCTTAGCTTTATTAAGAGTAGATGGGCAGAAGGGTGAAATTGGAACTTGAAAGTGTAAGGGGTTGGCTGTTACAATTGAAAGTAAAGTGACCAAAATGAGATTTGGTAAAAGTGCAAGGGTTAACTTATCCTGAAAGAAAATGTGTTTCTATACTCCGGAAGCATCTGTTCATTGTAAAATTTTTAGAAATTCTTCGTAACATGCTATGCTCTAAAATATCACATTCATGTTTGGTTTGTTATATTTGTACACTCACAAACAAAGGGAAAAAAAATTAATAAATAGAGTTTAGTTCACAGCAATGAATTGATTAACCTCGGGGGCAATCAACTCATAAACATGTTAAACAAAAATGTCTTCAAGTTTTAAACCTTTGACTAAACATGTAATTCATATTTCTTAAAGTCTACATACTTTTTTATATTATACAATCAAAGATTTTCAAAATTTTCTCCCACGGTAGAACCATTGGATTGATTCATCTCACTTGGATTAAGATTCCGAAACGAAGAGTTGCAATCATTCACCAGAACATGTTTATGGATTAGCAATCTCTTATAACAGGGACTAGCGGCAAATGTGAATAGTTTTGAAGTGTTTCATGTCATACATGATTTTTGGAGTTCAATGGCCATTATCATTTATCATTATTGGAGAAATAATCTTTGTTAGCTGAACTTCTTTTAGCTGTCTTTGTTGTAAATTATTGATGTTCATTTTAGAACTTGAATGATCTCTGACAGAAAGGCTTGTACTACTTAAGAATTGTCAAATTTGAAATGTATCAAAAACCTTTTGATGGAATAAGTATACAGAACAAAGTTCCAAAATCTCCCAAGTTGTGGATATAAATCAGTAGCTTTTTTACTAATAGAATGTTTGTCATTTATTGTAGTTATTCATTTCTGCTCATCTTCACAAGTTTGTCTTTTTGTGTGTGTTATTAAAGACTATTACTACAATTGTTCTAATATATGTTTACATTTCTGTTTTATGATGGTTGGTGCTGCCAATCTTTAAAATCTCAATTGCAACACAATAGCTGCAAGTTCTGAAGTGGCTGTGAGATGGGCTGTATTGCTGGTAGAATGTTTTTGGGCTGATCAGAGGCTAGTGGGAAGAGTTTTCAGTCAGCTGTTGTATTCTCTGACTCCACTGTGTCAGTGCACGGCCTCTCGGTGCTACAGATTTTATGGCTAGTTTCTATAGTGCTGAGTTGTCTTTATTCTTGTGGTTTTGTAGCAATTGACATGATTGAAGTACCTGAAAATTGTTTGATTTGCCTTTTATTTCCTGCTGAAGTATGAAATACCAGAAGAGTTGTTCAATAACTAACCTATTATTGCAATTTTTAAGTGAAAAAACACACACATTCTGATAACTTAAATGCTAGAGCAGTTGACTTTACAAGGGATGGGTACTGAGATAATATGACGACACAGTAGAAACATTATTGCTTTGTTAGCTACAGCAATTCCATCTTTGAGGAGGTTGATTGGAAGGCTTGTCCAGAGCCCTTTATGTAACACTATTATGGGTGATCACTAGTATATCTTAAAATTCAAAAATAGATGAGATGAGAGTAGAAACTATGAGAAAAATTGAGGTCTACTTTTCTGTCATCCTGAAACCATTTGTGCAGTCCATGATCCTATTTATGTCATACCCTTTATTCATCGTTGTTAGAGTGTATAACTCCGTGGAGGGAAAAGTGCTGCACAATGTCTTAGTGATCATTTTTATGGACAAATCATAATGGTCAAAAAAATGCATGTTCTTACTCAATTTGAGACTATTGGAGAAGTCGTGGCTAAAAGTAATATTTAGTGACAAATTTTGGCTTGTCATAAAACATTTGTCACTGAAACAGATTTGCTGTAATGTGGAGACATAAACAGTCTGACTCTGCAAAGATTTGAACCCTTGACCCCAACAGCCAAGCTAATTCATCAACTGAGTTTTAATAATACCACATTCGATAGTGAATGAATTAAAGAAAAAAATTTGTGTGCTCAATGTGATCTTTGAAGGACTTCTTGCCCTTTCCCTTTGGTATCTTCCATTCTCTTTAGTGTAGTTGTTTTATTATAAAAGAACCAATGAGTTGAGTTCTTACTAAAACACGCTGCCAACACTTCGCAGTAGTTATTGGGGCATTTTCTATTACTTCATTGAGTTGCTTTATTCTTTGTTGGTTTGATTTGTCTTTCTTTGTCTTCTCAGAAAAGACTCCTTTGTCCATCTATATTACTTGGTTAAGATCAAGCCACTAGCTAACTTAAAATGCCAATTGCTTGTTTCTTCTTTGCTTTATTGGATTCATGTCTTACTCGTATCTTGAAGACTTTAAAAATTTTGATGATCCCAGAGATGCTTCTCGCGCATTTGTCTCAGGGAATTTTACAGGTAAAATTGGTTGAGTGTTTATTTATTTCTTTGCTTCTAATGATGAATTCATGGAAATTTCAAGTTTTATCCCAATATAAATATCTTGTGCGGTGCTATTTCTTATGTCTAGTTTCCATGTGTTAAAATCCACTTAAACCTACTCCACTAAACCTAACCCACTACACCACTACCACCTCACCTACTCCACTAAACCTAGTCTATCTTTGAGACATACAGTGTGAAACTGTATAAAGGTATATGGAAATTGTTTTGAGTTCTTCAACTCTGATACGAAGTATAGAAGGTATACATGTAAAAAAAACATAAAGTTCTTTGAGAAAGACAGATTTTATACAATAGCCATTTATGACAATGGTAAAATCAACAATGTGAAAAAATTAAACATAGAGATATTGACTTGATCACCATGAAGGAATGGGCTTTGGCCCTTCAGATGAAGATAAACCATCATGTTTCCTAAAAGTTTTTGCTTTTCTGAAATCATCTTTTTTGTTTGAATTTAGATTTCAATGGAAAGATTATGACGAAAAAAAGAAAAGCACAAACTAGATAATCTTGTTGGACAAAGTGCTTCCTCTTTCACCTTGATTACTAATTAGTAATTATCATTTCTAAGGCTTATGCAGCCTTCCAAGATAATAGTGTAAAAAAGTACTCTAGTTGTTTATGAACAAGAAATAACTTCTGTTCAAGAGCAGTTGTTGCTATAGTCACATATTTCAACTCTCATTTTTCATATTTTCTTATATTTACCTATTTCAACACTTTCTTATCTTTCATATCATCCTTCTTTCATTTTATGAATACAGGAGATGGACTCACTGACTCAATGCATGGTTTGTCCAGCACTGAGGTAATCAATGTGGTTTGCTATTTCTAATAATCATATTTTATTATTTTACACACACAACATTGTTGCATTATCCCCTTTTTTCTTTTTCTTTTTTGTCTGGAAAATATTATGGTCTAGCTCACCCTTGAATCACTCCACATGTTCAAACTCTTCCAAACATAATAATTTCCATTGATTAATTCATGGTTTTTATTCAATTTGACATTGGAAATTGGTGAAAGTAGGACTACTTTGTGTCAAGTAGTAGCTGCCATTGGTTATGCACTTTTTATAATACAACATTCTTTTAGTTACCTTTCTTCCCAGCCACTAGGCTTGGTGTCTTAGCTTTGGTGTTGGAACAGCCTCGTCTATACTATTTGGAATTGCCTGGCCAAGTGTTGGTTTCCAGGCACCTTCTGTAACTCTGAAAGTTTAACATAGAGTGATTATGTCTGCAGGTGAAGAGTGTCGTTGACTGGCGAGATTTTTACTTCAAAACGTACATGTGAGTTATACATTGTTCGGCTATATGTTTATTCAATTACTCTAATAGTTGGAAGTAAATTGAAAAGACAAATGTTAACAGGACAGGAAGGGAAAAATGCAGTCTTTGCGAAAACTTTTTATAAAAAAACCAACTTTTTCATCCTCCTTTTCGAAACTTTTGGGGAACTTTATAAACTTTCATATGCATACTATGAAGCAGATTTTCCATGAAGTAGAAAGTAATTATGTGCATATATTTTATGACATATATTTTCCACTAAGGATTCTAGTTTCAAAAAACAAAAAAGAAAAAGTACCTCTCTTCTAACTCTATCTTGCCCTTTAATTTTTCAATCTACCTATAATAAACAACTCTCCTGTATTTTTATGAAATAAAACCTTAAATCCTTTCATTTGAAATCCATCTATCCAAACGGAGCCTTAAGGGTCATCAATCATGAAAATAAATGTGCATCTTAAATATGATGACAAAACACATATTCAAATGTTGGTAGTTGATTGTTGGAGTTGTATCATTTTTTTTCTTATATGGTGTCATTACCCCATACCCCGTGCTTTAGCGGGAATCTTGTGCATTGGGTCACCGATGGGCCGTTGGAAAGTTGGTTAAAAACTGACTTTTTGGCTTTATTTGGTTTTTTTTTTTTTTTAAATCGTGTAAAAAAGTAGAGAGAGAAGATGTGACCCAAAAAAATCAAAAAGTCAAAAAGCTGGCTTTTAACCAGTTAGCCAAAATAGATTGTGCGGGTATGTATGGATGCATCTTGAATACCCTTAAAAGCTTTCCCATTTTCAGTTTTTTTGCTTGCAAGTATTTGAGGCTTGCATTGCATACTGGTTTATATCATGCTGGACTTAAGATTTGAAGACATCCATACAAAAATAATGGGCAAATTGCTTGACATTTGTACAGTCTTGATTGATGATTGTTAGATTTGTTGGCAAGCTAGTGGGTCGTTACTATGATAGCGAAGGGAATCCCACAGAATATTTGAAAGGGGTTGAAGCAAACGCTGCTAGAGGTGCACAACTGATGGAGAAACAGAAAAATGAAGAAGCTAAACTACCTAGCTGCAATTCAAGGTGGAGTCAGGACACGGGTTCAGAGGTACAAACTTTAATCTAGTGTTAACAATACAGTCTGGTCATTAATCACTTGTGGAGGACAGTGCCGGTTTTCTACTTTTCTCCAAAATTCTTTCTCGCGTTGCCTTGTCCACTGTAGTAGAACTTGCATCGAATTTGTGTTTTTGGAGTTTCTGTTGTGAAAGTTTGTATGCCACTGCCAATCCATGGTGGGTATTGAGTCATGAATCCATTTTATAAGGTTTTCAAAACCTTACGCATAAACTAGTAGATAATTCCAACTCACCATGAATTTGGCAAGCTTCTATGTTGTTGAGTTGTTTCTTAGCTAACAACTATTTTGGTCAGGTTTGGTGCCATAATGGTTATCCAAGGTTAATTCAAAAACCACTAGAAATGGCTATAACTGGGAAAGTGAGCAAGCGCTGTGCTTGCTTCATTGAAGAGGAACTAAACCAGCCCGGATTGGAAGTCTACAGTGGATGTGATCATTTTGCAAAGCTCTGTCGACTTTAGGCAGTGCGAAATTGTTTTTCGTAAATAATTAGTTGATTTCATGAAGGGAAAGGGAGAGTTAAGTAATACACAAGTAGAAGAATATGACGAAGCAGAAGGAAAAAGGCTAATAGAAGCGATGATATGGTTTGAAATATTTATATTTATGTAACTCATGATAAAAGCACTACAAGATTGTTTCTGTTTGTTTTATTTCTTTTGGTTACTAGTTTTAGATTATCTTTTTTTTAATAGATTTTGATGTTTAAATAACTCATGATAAAAAAACACTACTAGATTGTTTCTGTTTATTGATAGAGTTGCTTGTCACGGATTACTCTCTTCATATTATGAGTCATTTCAGACTATCCTTCTTTTGTTGGGGCAAATTGTTCTCAAAAATTACTATGACACGATATGGTTCGCCCAATTCAATATGATCATCAACCACATTGTCATAATCCAACTAATTTTTAGTCATAAATTCAATCACAGCCACTTTTGAGGATGCACATCATGGGTTCAATATCAAGAGAATTTGACGTTACAAACTTTTTGGTACCAACAAACTCAGCAATGCATAAAATTCTCCAAAGATTGCAATTTATATTGAGGCAAAATCCTTATCCTCATTCCATTAATCCTGTTCAAATAAAACTTTCTTTTTCTTTTACAAGTTTTGAACAATGCTCCTTGACAATTGAATCCTCAAAACCATTTGCTATTTTCTTTCTAGATACAAAAATAGAAAAAGAAATCAGAAAGAAACAAGAACAAGAGGGAATAATTCCTCACAAAAGAAACTCCTAGCATGTTTGGCAGGTGCGAGCACTAATAGACTCGGGAGGTCTCTTCAGGACAACCAGATGTTTGGGTTGATCCACCTCTAAATTCATCATAGCATCAACACGTGTTGCCTTTTAAATGGGCAATGGAGCAATTGTGTCTTCCGAGAAGAAATCTTGAATCCTCCACCAAATCTCTGCAAGGGAAATTCTAGTTGGCTCGTTCACAGATCAGGGTGATCACCATCTCAGAATCAAATTCAATCCACTTTGTTTAAGCCTTTTTGCAAAATGATAGTAGAAAATGATAGTTAGACCCCTGTAAACAACCCATAAGCCTAGTGCCGTTACCCAAGTTTGCATAGTAGCCACATATCCAGCTGCCAACTTTATCTCTGAAGACTCCATCATAGCCTGCCTGTCCAGGATCACCTTGCAAACAAAGCACCCAACAGTATTGAGTTTGATAGTATTATTGACCCTTTCACTAGCTATAATACTCCACTATAAAACAAAACAATTATATATACTGTTTGTTAGATAAATCACAGAGTCTAGGTCTTGTTAGTCCCATATGATGATATATGCCAATGTCACCTTGAAATTGAGCACAATCATTTCTCAAAAAAATGCATGTTCTTACTCAATTTGAGACTATTGGAGAAGTCGTGGCTAAAAGTAATATTTAGTGACAAATTTTGGCTTGTCATAAAACATTTGTCACTGAAACAGATTTGCTGTAATGTGGAGACATAAACAGTCTGACTCTGCAAAGATTTGAACCCTTGACCCCAACAGCCAAGCTAATTCATCAACTGAGTTTTAATAATACCACATTCGATAGTGAATGAATTAAAGAAAAAAATTTGTGTGCTCAATGTGATCTTTGAAGGACTTCTTGCCCTTTCCCTTTGGTATCTTCCATTCTCTTTAGTGTAGTTGTTTTATTATAAAAGAACCAATGAGTTGAGTTCTTACTAAAACACGCTGCCAACACTTCGCAGTAGTTATTGGGGCATTTTCTATTACTTCATTGAGTTGCTTTATTCTTTGTTGGTTTGATTTGTCTTTCTTTGTCTTCTCAGAAAAGACTCCTTTGTCCATCTATATTACTTGGTTAAGATCAAGCCACTAGCTAACTTAAAATGCCAATTGCTTGTTTCTTCTTTGCTTTATTGGATTCATGTCTTACTCGTATCTTGAAGACTTTAAAAATTTTGATGATCCCAGAGATGCTTCTCGCGCATTTGTCTCAGGGAATTTTACAGGTAAAATTGGTTGAGTGTTTATTTATTTCTTTGCTTCTAATGATGAATTCATGGAAATTTCAAGTTTTATCCCAATATAAATATCTTGTGCGGTGCTATTTCTTATGTCTAGTTTCCATGTCTTCCCTCAATCTAGATAATAAATAAATAAATAGAAATGGTTTTTAAAAATAATAAATAAATACATAAAAGAGAAAATAAATAATGAAGGGAATAAGAGTCAAAAAAATTCTCAAGAGGATTGAAAGAACAAAGTGGAGGGATAAAAAGGAGAAAAGGTTTTTAATATGTAATACAGAAACTTGAGTCTATCTTTGAGACATACAGTGTGAAACTGTATAAAGGTATATGGAAATTGTTTTGAGTTCTTCAACTCTGATACGAAGTATAGAAGGTATACATGTAAAAAAAACATAAAGTTCTTTGAGAAAGACAGATTTTATACAATAGCCATTTATGACAATGGTAAAATCAACAATGTGAAAAAATTAAACATAGAGATATTGACTTGATCACCATGAAGGAATGGGCTTTGGCCCTTCAGATGAAGATAAACCATCATGTTTCCTAAAAGTTTTTGCTTTTCTGAAATCATCTTTTTTGTTTGAATTTAGATTTCAATGGAAAGATTATGACGAAAAAAAGAAAAGCACAAACTAGATAATCTTGTTGGACAAAGTGCTTCCTCTTTCACCTTGATTACTAATTAGTAATTATCATTTCTAAGGCTTATGCAGCCTTCCAAGATAATAGTGTAAAAAAGTACTCTAGTTGTTTATGAACAAGAAATAACTTCTGTTCAAGAGCAGTTGTTGCTATAGTCACATATTTCAACTCTCATTTTTCATATTTTCTTATATTTACCTATTTCAACACTTTCTTATCTTTCATATCATCCTTCTTTCATTTTATGAATACAGGAGATGGACTCACTGACTCAATGCATGGTTTGTCCAGCACTGAGGTAATCAATGTGGTTTGCTATTTCTAATAATCATATTTTATTATTTTACACACACAACATTGTTGCATTATCCCCTTTTTTCTTTTTCTTTTTTGTCTGGAAAATATTATGGTCTAGCTCACCCTTGAATCACTCCACATGTTCAAACTCTTCCAAACATAATAATTTCCATTGATTAATTCATGGTTTTTATTCAATTTGACATTGGAAATTGGTGAAAGTAGGACTACTTTGTGTCAAGTAGTAGCTGCCATTGCTTATGCACTTTTTATAATACAACATTCTTTTAGTTACCTTTCTTCCCAGCCACTAGGCTTGGTGTCTTAGCTTTGGTGTTGGAACAGCCTCGTCTATACTATTTGGAATTGCCTGGCCAAGTGTTGGTTTCCAGGCACCTTCTGTAACTCTGAAAGTTTAACATAGAGTGATTATGTCTGCAGGTGAAGAGTGTCGTTGACTGGCGAGATTTTTACTTCAAAACGTACATGTGAGTTATACATTGTTCGGCTATATGTTTATTCAATTACTCTAATAGTTGGAAGTAAATTGAAAAGACAAATGTTAACAGGACAGGAAGGGAAAAATGCAGTCTTTGCGAAAACTTTTTATAAAAAAACCAACTTTTTCATCCTCCTTTTCGAAACTTTTGGGGAACTTTATAAACTTTCATATGCATACTATGAAGCAGATTTTCCATGAAGTAGAAAGTAATTATGTGCATATATTTTATGACATATATTTTCCACTAAGGATTCTAGTTTCAAAAAACAAAAAAGAAAAAGTACCTCTCTTCTAACTCTATCTTGCCCTTTAATTTTTCAATCTACCTATAATAAACAACTCTCCTGTATTTTTATGAAATAAAACCTTAAATCCTTTCATTTGAAATCCATCTATCCAAACGGAGCCTTAAGGGTCATCAATCATGAAAATAAATGTGCATCTTAAATATGATGACAAAACACATATTCAAATGTTGGTAGTTGATTGTTGGAGTTGTATCATTTTTTTTCTTATATGGTGTCATTACCCCATACCCCGTGCTTGGGTCACCGATGGGCCTTTGGAAAGTTGGTTAAAAACTGACTTTTTGGCTTTATTTGGTTTTTTTTTTTTAAATCGTGTAAAAAAGTAGAGAGAGAAGATGTGACCCAAAAAAATCAAAAAGTCAAAAAGCTGGCTTTTAACCAGTTTGCCAAAATAGATTGTGCGGGTATGTATGGATGCATCTTGAATACTCTTAAAAGCTTTCCCATTTTCAGTTTTTTTGCTTGCAAGTATTTGAGGCTTGCATTGCATACTGGTTTATATCATGCTGGACTTAAGATTTGAAGACATCCATACAAAAATAATGGGCAAATTGCTTGACATTTGTACAGTCTTGATTGATGATTGTTAGATTTGTTGGCAAGCTAGTGGGTCGTTACTATGATAGCGAAGGGAATCCCACAAAATATTTGAAAGGGGCTGAAGCAAAGGCTGCTAGAGGTGCACAACTGATGGAGAAACAGAAAAATGAAGAAGCTAAACTACCTAGCTGCAATTCAAGGTGGAGTCAGGACACGGGTTCAGAGGTACAAACTTTAATCTAGTGTTAACAATACAGTCTGGTCATTAATCACTTGTGGAGGACAGTGTGGGTTTTCTACTTTTCTCCAAAATTCTTTCTAGCGTTGCCTTGTCCACTGTAGTAGAACTTGCATCGAATTTGTGTTTTTGGAGTTTCTGTTGTGAAAGTTTGTATGCCACTGCCAATCCATGGTGGGTATTGAGTCATGAATCCATTTTATAAGGTTTTCAAAACCTTACGCATAAACTAGTAGATAATTCCAACTCACCATGAATTTGGCAAGCTTCTATATTGTTGAGTTGTTTCTTAGCTAACAACTATTTTGGTCAGGTTTGGTGCGATAATGGTTATCCAAGGTTAATTCAAAAACCACTAGAAATGGCTATAACTGGGAAAGTGAGCAAGCGCTGTGCTTGCTTCAATGAAGAGGAACTAAACCAGCCCGGATTGGAAGTCTACAGTGGATGTGATCATTTTGCAAAGCTCTGTCGACTTTAGGCAGTGCGAAATTGTTTTTCGTAAATAATTAGTTGATTACATGAAGGGAAAGGGTGAGTTAAGTAATACACAAGTAGAAGAATATGACGAAGCAGAAGGAAAAAGGCTAATAGAAGCGATGATATGGTTTGAAATATTTATATTTATGTAACTCATGATAAAAGCACTACAAGATTGTTTCTGTTTTTTTATTTCTTTTGGTTACTAGTTTTAGATTTTCTTTTTTTAATAGATTTTGATGTTTAAATAACTCATGATAAAAAAACACTACTAGATTGTTTCTGTTTATTGATAGAGTTGCTTGTCACGGATTACTCTCTTCATATTATGAGTCTTTTCAGATTATCCTTCTTTTGTTGGGGCAAATTGTTCTCAAAAATTATGATGACACAATATGGTTCGCCCAATTCAATATGATCATCAACCACATTGTGTCATAATCCAACTAATTTTTAGTCATAAATTCAATCACAGCCACTTTTGAGGATGCACATCATGGGTTCAATATCAAGAAATTTGACGTTACAAACTTTTTGGTACCAACAAACTCAGCAATGCATAAAATTCTCCAAAGATTGCAATTTATATAGAGGCAAAATCCTTATCCTCATTCCATTAATCCTGTTCAAATAAAACTTTCTTTTTCTTTTACAACTTTTGAACAATGCTCCTTGACAATTGAATCCTCAAAACCATTTGCTATTTTCTTTCTAGATACAAAAATAGAAAAAGAAATCAGAAAGAAACAAGAACAAGAGGGAATAATTCCTCACAAAAGAAACTCCTAGCATGTTTGGCAGGTGCGAGCACTAATAGACTCGGGAGGTCTCTTCAGGACAACCAGATGTTTGGGTTGATCCACCTCTAAATTCATCATAGCATCAACACGTGTTGCCTTTTAAATGGGCAATGGAGCAATTGTGTCTTCCGAGAAGAAATCTTGAATCCTCCACCAAATCTCTGCAAGGGAAATTCTAGTTGGCTCGTTCACAGACCAGGGTGATCACCATCTCAAAATCAAATTCAATCCACTTTGTTTAAGCCTTTTTGCAAAATGATAGTTAGACCCCTGTAAACAACCCATAAGCCTAGTGCCGTTACCGAAGTTTGCATAGTAGCCACATATCCAGCTGCCAACTTTATCTCTGAAGACTCCATCATAGCCTGCCTGTCCAGGATCACCTTGCAAACAAAGCACCCAACAGCATTGTGTTTGATAGTATTATTGACCCTTTCACTCGCTATAATACTCCACTATAAAACAAAACAATTATATATACTGTTTGTTAGATAAATCACAGAGTCTAGGTCTTGTTAGTCCCATATGATGATATATGCCAATGTCACCTTGAAATTGAGCACAATCATTTCCCCCCCCTGGCTTTATTTGGTTTTTTTTTTTTAAATCGTGTAAAAAAGTAGAGAGAGAAGATGTGACCCAAAAAAATCAAAAAGTCAAAAAGCTGGCTTTTAACCAGTTTGCCCCCCAAAAAAAAAAAAAACAATGGCAGCAAAGCACAGACAACTCTTCTGATTCGTTCATGTATATCTGCTTACAAGATGGTTCTGCAGATTTTTTGACACAAGGATAATACATGAAAGGTACAGTTTCTCCAAAAGTACCTGCTTCAAGAGCCCAGAAGTGTGCAGAAGCTCATGCCAATCCTCCTTACAAAATTTCTCCCAGTCCAAACCACTCAACATGTATTACATATTCTCTCTCCCCTCTACTCCTGTGCCACCTAATCTTTTTACTCTTCTACACGCTGTCTCACATCCAACAGCCAATTTATACAAGAATTCCTGTCATCCAACTAAGTGTGTATGTCAGTTGAGCAGAGAATCCCCAGTCCCAAAAGCCCTCTATCCCAATTTACTCATAGACATTAGATCATGCCTCAAGGTTCTCATACCATGAGTTTATAGCATGATCCAGTAACTGTGAATAATTTGGAACAAAATGAGAGAACTTTTGGAAAAGAGGATCCTGACGGTAGTAACTTCATAAAGAATCAAGCATTCAAACATAAGATAGTATAACAAAATCAAAAACCAAAATATCAGGAACTTTTGAGGACATCACAGGTATGCATAGTCCATGAGATCATGGTTGCCTCAACTATCTTCAGCTTGCAAAATAATGAAATCATGCCAAATCTACAAATTAACAATACAAGGAATAACTCCGTCCTAAGCAGTATGTAAGTTTCTGAAAACACCTCAACTAAGAACTTTTTAGCTAACAGAAGCATCGCATAAGTACAACATGCCAACCAACCATCCCAAAATATCTGCAAGTCAAAAAAATATATCCAAATTGAAAGATGTTAATTTCCCTCCATGAGAACATCAAATAATAAACAATAATGCTTTGAACAAGATCATCCCCTAAAGTTTATCTTCCTCATGACATACCTCTCTATACGGATTTCTATTTCACATTTGCAATGCAATAGCAGCAACACCTGAATATGATTCATTGAATATTCAAATAAGAATCAGAGAGACACAATTAGACCTTGGCAAGTTGGTTACACAAGCAGATGTCTCGACCAATTCTGCCTTTTTCATCTTCAACACAAATGTTCCAGCAACAAAGTTAAAAATTTATTATACAAAACACACCTTTAAGTCAGTTATTAGCATGTTGAAATCAATCTTCTCATTATAAGCTAGTAAAATGCAGAGACATGCAAATATTAATTTTTTGAAGATTATCATATCAGAAGTGAGATAGTGTAACTGGAGTAAAAATGTGAGTTTGAATCCATCTCAAAGGTAGGCCACACTAGAGGGCTAACTATATACAAACACAAAAAGACTTAAAACATACAAAGTCCTACTGGTAGTCCAGTAATAGCATATTGAATATTCAGAAGAAACTATAACTCAAGTAACTTAGTAAATGTGACCACTATTTAACACTTAATGCTGTATTCCCCCAAGGATATGGTCTACAGCGCTAATTTACAGATTGAATTATATAGAGTATTTTCAACTCAACACAAGAGCACTCTCCATAACAACTGGGATACTTATCACCCTCTTTGTCCCATGCACCCTCTTCTTGTAAATGACGATGCAACAAGAAGAGAAAACATGGGAAAGAGGATGAGGTATAAGGAGAGAGAAAGAGGATCAAACGCACTACAAACACCGATTTCAATAGATGCACTTGCATATGCATGCTTTAAATGCATATCTGTGGTTGTGCAAGATTACAAGATGTCTAGAAGTCTAGATACAAGTACTTGTGTTCAAAAATCAAAAGTTACAACTAAAACATTGCTCCCTCCAAAAGTAACATTTTATTCAATTTTGAAAAAGCACAATAATTTACAAACATGCATTAAATGCATTACCATCTATTTACTACATTGTGATGTTTCCTTTTTTTTCCCCCCCTGATCTTTTTCTTCCTTTTCTTCTTCTTCTTCTACTTGTGGTCATGTTGCAACTTATTGCATAACAAAAGAGTATAGTAAAAAACTGAGCAATAACCACTCGCTTTCAACATAGACAATTTATTAGAACATCTAAAAATGAAAATATGGATTCTAACTCATGTTCTGTCAGAAAGTAGTCCAAATTTCCTTATGTGGATGTCCCAAAATTATTGATCACATTGAAATAGCAAATGAGTATTTTTCATTTGAATTTCTCACCATACCGTTTTTATAATATTAATTACAAATTTCTCCTCCTAAATAGTCAACAATATATGGCAAAAGAATAGTACACTGCAAATGAAAGCCTTCAATGCCATCTTATAAAGGGTAAAAATTTAGTGGTCTAGAACCACCACGTCAATTTTGGTCCCGAACACTCAGGATCGGTCACATGAAAAAAATGAGGCCTAAGATCCCATCTTTCCACCTTCTCGAGGAGATGAGTCCTAATAAAGTGGGATCTCGAGACTCACCTCTTCGAAAAAGTGAAAAAGTGAGACCTCAAACCCCACTTTTTCCCACGTGGTATGATTTGGAATCAAAGTTGACATGATGGTCTTAGATCACGAAATAATTACTCCCAAATAAGATTTTAAATCTTCAAAGTGGACAAATTCTCAAGGATAGTGCAAATATATTTTTATTTATATGGAAAAAGCCCAAACAATGGTTAACTAGCTTTAAAATTGGTTGTACATTCCTTGTAGAAGTGGGTAGTTAAGAAGCGTACAACCATTAAATGCGTTGTAAGCCAAAGCCCATGGGCACTTGTTAGTAATACCTTATTTATATAACAAGAAATGTCAATAAGTATAAATGTCCAACACTCACGTTTAAACTTCGACCATATCAAGAATGTAGTGATGCACATGTGATAAACATGGTGCAAGGACACCATTTTCCCCATCACAACTTTTAACACCATACAAAATTATCAAATCTTATCTTAGAAACCAATACAAAAATATTGTCAAGGGTCCTAACAAGAAATTTTGCATTTTCTTAATTTAATAAATGGTTGTATACTATGATTAAAGTGGTCATTTGCAAACTCAAACTCCTTTCACAATACCCAAGATTTATTGCTCAAGTGATATGTCTATTTTATTTTGTTAATCGAAGTGCTATCACATAACGAACATAGATGTGATCCAAATCCCTACGAACACCAACCTTAATAGATGCACTTCTAGACAAGCATGTTGTAAATGTATATCTACGGTTGTACAAATTTACACGATGTCTAAAAGTCCAAACACAAGTATTTTTTTCAAAAACCAAATGTTACAACTAAATCATTGGTCCCTCCAACAACAAAACATTGTTCACTTTGAAAATGCACAATAATTTAAGAATGTTCGTTAAAATGCATTCCCATGCATTTACTGCGTTGTAAGATGTCATTTTCCCCATCAAACGATTGATCCTTTTTCTTTTTGGGGGGGTCAAGTCGCAACTAATTGCATGAAAAAAGGGTATGGTAAAAAAATGAGCAATAACTACTCACTTTTTAACATATATATTTTTAGAACATCTAAAAATGAAAATATAAATTTTGAATCATGTAGTGAAAAAGTAGACCAAATTTCCTTATTTCAATGTCCCAAAATCATTGTCCACATTAAAATAGTAAATGAATATTTTTCATTGAATTTAATTGCGAGTTTCTTCATTTTTATTTAGTCAAACATACATGCCAGAATAGTATACTATAAAGTATAAATGAATGCCTTTAATGCTACTAAGGGAGAAATATTCAATGGTTTAGGACCACCACGTCAATTTTGGTTCCAACTAGATCGGGCTACAAAGAAAAAGTGGGGTCTAATGTCCCACCTTTCCACTTTCTTGAGGAGGTGAGTCCCGACAAAACAAAACCATGAGCCCCACTTTATCAGGACTCAACTCCTCGAAAAGGTGAAATGATGGAACTTGGATCCCATTTTTTACTATGTAAATGACCATGAACAGTTTGAGACCAAATGTGCCGTGATGATCCAAAAAAACCGAATAATTACTCCCAATTAAATTGTACATATTTTCAAAGTGAACAAATTCTCAAGGATAGTCGCCATGAATACTGGCACGAGTATCAATGAGTAAACAAAGGACAAACTGTTATTTTCACCCATAATTAAAGGAATTATAGGTTTTGCAACTCCAAAATAATGACCATGCAATGCATCCTCCGATCAAAGCTCAAGAGCCATTTAAAAAGTATTTGTACTGGTGTCGACTCTCTTGACTCCAACAGATATCAAGCAAGTGAATGTCTTTTAACTTTTCCAATCTTCTTCACAAAACTATAATATGTACGTTCCATAACATTGCATTCATGACTTAAACAATAGAATGCCTTATTACTAAGGTACAAATCCAAGACTCAATTCGTTCACCTCCACTTCAATGCCACTTCCGAATGGAAAAATATCCAGTGGTTCAAGACCACCGCGTTAGCTTTGGTCTCAATTACTCATGATCGGCCACATAAAAAAAGGTAAGACCAAAAGTCCAACATTTCCACCTTTCCAGGGAGGTGGCTCCTAACAAGGTAAGACCTTTAATCCCACTTTTTCCTATGTGACTGACCACAAAAGATTTGAGATCAAAGTTGATGTGATGGTCCAAGACCACCAAATAATTACTCAGATGTAAAATTGTACATCTTCAAAATGAACAAATTTGTAAGGATAGTGTGAGTATATTTATTTATATGGCAAACGCTAACTAGTGCTAACTAGCTTTAAAATGGTTGTGCATTCCTTGCAGAAATGGGTAGGTAAAAAATGGTTGTACAGTCTACTCAACTAAAAAGTAAATATGACCATTACTTAACACTTAAAAATTGTATTCCTTCCCCCAAGGATATTGTCCACAACATTAACTTATGGATTGAATTATGTCAAGAATTTTCAAGTCACTCACACAAGCATTCTCCATGACATTGACAACCAAGATCCTTTATTACCCTCTCTGTTTCATCATCTGTCCCATGCCTCTTTTGTTGTTGTGATCGGTGAGGTGATGCAACAACAAGAGAAAGCATAGGAAAGAAGATGAGTCAAAGAGGAGAAAAGAGAATGAGGAACACTGACTTCAATAGACTTGCTTAAACACGCGTCAAGTGCTTGTTTATGACCATACAAGTTTATAGGATTTGTAAAAAGAGTATGGCAAAAAATGAGCAATAACTACTCACTTCTCAATATAGACATTTTTTTAAAACATCTAAAAATGAAAATATGGATTCTCACTAATGTTTACTGAGAAAATTATCCAAATTTCCTTATTTGGATGTCCCAAAGTTTTTGTCCACATTAAAATAAAGGAGTATTTTTCATTAATTTCTCCAAAACCCTTTGTTATAATGTTAATTAAACGGTCCTAACCTTTTAAATAATAAACAATATATCACAAAAGAATAATAGTACACAATGAAGGAAAAAGTATTCAATGATCCAAAGCTACCATGTCAGCTTTGGTCCCAACCACTCATTATCAGACGCATACAAAAAAGTGAGACTCGAGATCCCACCTTTCCACCTTCCTGAGAAGGCGGATCCTAACAACATGGAACCTCAAGCCCCACTTTGTCGGGACCCAACTCCTTGAGAAGGTAAAAAAGTAGGACCTCAAGCCTCACCTTTTTCTATGCGGCAAATCATAAATTATTTGGAATCAAAAGTGACATAATGGTCTAGGACACTAAATAATTACTCCCAAGTAAGATTGTTCATCTTCAAAGTGGACAAATTCTCAAGGATAGTGTGAGAGAATATTTATTTATATGGAAAATGCCCACACAATTATTAACCAGCTTTAAAATGATTGTGCATTCCATGTAGAAGTGTGTAGGTAAGAAATGTACAACCATTTGATGCATTCTTAACCAAAGACTCCTGGGCAATTGTTGGCAATACCTTATTTATAGTAACAATAAACATCAATCCATACAGATGTCCAACACCCACATTTATATTTTTTTGACCATCGCAAGTATGTAGTAATGCACACATGATAAACATGGTGCAAGGGCACAATTTTCCAGGTATCATTACTTTTAACCCCATAAAGCATTTTCAAATCTAATGTTAGTAACTAAATTACTCATACATTAATATTGTCAAGGGCTATCACAAGAAAATTTGCATTTTCTTAATTTAATAAATGGTTTTAGACTTGTTCATTTGGAGGAAAACAATGAAACCCACTAAAAAGGGTCAGAAGGCCCCTCTACGGTACATACCCTTAAACAAGAACTAAGAACTAACCAATCAACAAGAACTAAGACAAAAAAAGGAGGAGAATAGGGATCTAAATAGCATGAAGCACGAAACACCCAAAAATAAATAAATAAATAAATAAATTCACCTACCTGTAAGTTTCCAAATTTTAACACCATGTTTAAAGTGGTTGTCTACAAACTGGAACTCCTTTCCAAACACCCAAAGCTTTATTGTTCCAAATTCCAATGATACTTCTAATTTGTTTCGTCAATCTAAGTGCTATGACAAGACGAATATGGAGGATCATCTGTGATTTCGATATTTATGTCTTAATTCAAAAAACAAGCTATGATAAAAGAGTTATGGTTTGTCCACTAGTATTTTTGGGAACAAACTTAATGTCTAAAAAAATTTAAGATATGAGATGGAATCAGTAGGCAAGTAACACATTAGCCATCCACCAGTGGATCCATCTCTGGAGTTGTCTGGCAGCCGCTGATTTAACAGCTTTCATTACCCAGTGGCTGGCCATGGGATGGCCACCAAATAACAAAAGTAAGTATTACACAGAGGGACAAGACTCCTAATCTATTGAAAGATAAAAGATCCAAACAAGAATTAGCTTGAGGGGAAACTAAAAATGGGCATATATTTCATAAAAAATAAATCTTTCCCATTTCAGAAATCAGCTTATTACATAACGCAACAATTAAATGCAATACCCACCATTTTTCTTGGAAGATCTTCCCATATTAACAAGCCCAATCAAATAAATTTATCAAATACTGACCGATACGATCTAGCATTAGCTTTTCAATATTCTCTCAAGTAAAATTATTTAGTGGAGGTGAGTGAGTGAGTGAGTGAGAAGTGTGAGATGAAATCAGTAGACAAGTAGCATGAATTTGAGGCACTCATCTGTGGACCCATCTCAGCGGTGCACCTTCGCTCAAGGCCTGCACTATCGAAGTCAGAGGCCTAGGACACAGAGTGCAAATGAGAAGCTCAAATTCAAACCAAGATATTCATATAAGATTTGTGATCCATATATAAATTTATATCAATAACATTTAGGTTCATTGACAGAACATAATTCATATAGATTTGAATGTATGGAATTGAAAAGCATTTATTAACAATTGATACCTACATACAACAGGGTCGGTGCGATTTAACCTCGCAGAACCCTAGCTTCTCGAAAAAACGATACTGACGAGAGAGAGAGAGAGAGAGAGAGAGAGAGATACACTGACACGGCCAATTTCCCTGAACGGGACCCGGGGGTGCTGCTGCGCCCAACTCACAGCAGTAACTGCTGTGAGTTGAAACGGCGTCGTTTCGGCTCTAAATAAAAAAAAAAAAAATTATTTTGTTTTGTTGTTCGCACGGCTTGAACCCAGGCAACTCTGGGTGCAAAACACACCTTAGCCACCGTGCTACTCAGACGCCCCTTGGATAAGTTGCACATATATTATATTTATTACAATCTTTATTCCAGGATAAAAAAAAATTTACAACCTGCTATTTTTACAATCTGTGTTCCAACATAAAATTACAAATACCCTATTGTCATAATTTTTTATTTAGCATAATTAATTAAAAAAATAAAATTCCTAATTACTCTTCTATACAATAATAAATTACCTAAATTATTAATTAAAATAAATTTTTAACATCATTAAAAACTATTAATTAACTTGATAATTTATTAATAAAATAGACATTTGTTATAAAATTAAAAATTTCAAAGAGCGAGATATAATTTTCAAAATCATAATAGACAATTCGTATTTTAAACAAATTTATCCTAAATTTTAAATTATGATAACTTTTTACTCAACTCATTTACAACTCTATTTTTTTACATGGTGGATTAAAAAGAAGATTCCCCAAGGACCAAAGGCTATTGCTGCTGCCATTGACTGAGTTTTTGGAAATTGGGTTTGATCAAATAGATCCCCTGCCTAAAATGTTCAGAAACATTTGTTTCATCATTTTTTATGTTTGTGTGAAAATAGTTTTTGAAAATTCAGAAGACAGTTTTGAAACAGATTGTCAAATCAGTTTTCCATATTAGTGTTTGTTTTTTCTATTCTCAAACAGTTTTCCACAAAATTAAAGACGGAATACAAAAACCACAATCAAACTAGCTAAATTTTCAGAAAGTGCAGTTTCATAGCACCAGTAAAAGAATTTCATTCCACAAAGCAATCCATAACTCTTAAATTCTAAAGATTTGTCTGAGCATTGCATTCCATGGCAATACAGATCAAGAGGAAAACTATTCAGCAAATTGCTCATCAAAATAGATAACTAAACCACTATAACGAACCAAAATCCCATGAAATCTGAATGACTCAGTTTTTCTCAACAATGCTACTATTTGTTAGATAACAATTTTCAGAAAGTGCAGTTTCATAGCACCAATAACAATTGTTTCTCCTCAAATAAACCTTGAATCCATGTCCAATATGCACAATTTGATGCTCTATTTATCAAACACAAATAAAATAAAACACAATAACAACGGTGACTTCTCCTTAAATAAACCTTGAATCTATTTCAATTTAATTCTCAAAAATAAAGCAAAAGGGTGGCCCGCTAGATAAATGTTTACATTTCAATTTTGTGGGGGTGGTTCCGAATAGCTGAAAAAATCAAACAAACTATCATTACGAAAGACTGACTCAGCCACCATGGGGCTGTGCTCTGCTAGATCAAATCCTAATCCCTGCCAAAAAAAAGAAACAAAAAAAAGAAAAGATATAAGGAAATGCATTGGAAATAAATACACGCATATATGTAAAAACAAAAAATGTAGATTGCAAACAAGTATATTACACAGATCAAAATTTCGTTTCCGTACGTTCTTTCGGTTAGGTTGGAAATGAAAATAGAATTGGAAACTTTTTCGAACGTTTTGAAAACATGAGAAATAACAAAAGGATTTGAAAGTGTATGAAAATATTTGGAAAAAAAAAAAACAAAAACTTTTATTGATGTTAATAAATTCCCAATAGTTAATTACTTGAACATGTTGAGTGTTATGAATGCTTAGTTGGATAAAGGGGTTTGCCATTTTAAGAAAAATATATTAAAAGAAATTGCGAAATTCTTGTAACAATAGGGATGGAAAAATAAACAATTGGTGCATTGCTCCTTCATGTTTTCTAGACTACGAGCACAATTGCTAGCTGATTTGTTATCACAATAAAGCCTCAAAAAATCTTTTTTGGTTGGTCTTAATTCTTATGGTGATTTTTAGTCAAAAGAAGTTCAAAGGGTCTATGTGTCATTGATTTGCACTTGACCTAGCATCTGTTTGACTGGCATTTACTTTACCAAGTTGCAAAGATAACCTCTTTATCAATGTAATTAGCCCAATCAAACGGAGTTAAGAAAACAAATGTTTATTCAACAATCCTCAGAGCTTCTTCTAAACTGAGGTGTTGTAACTCCATGCGTGGATTGATTATCTGTAGCTACATGAATCTATTAGATTAGCGATTGACCCAAAAGCTTAATGTGTTTTTGTTTTTAGAAGGCAAGATACTTTTTAGTCTTCATGGAAAGTTGAAATTTCAATATTTTATACTATTGTTTCAAAGTGAACAATTGTGGCCATGGTAGTTTAGAGTTTGAACTTGTGAACAATTTAGGATTTTCCTGCTGGAAGTTCTTAGGTTGTTATAGTATGAAAAATTAGGGCTTGTAAAATTAGGTTCTTATAGTATGACGAATTAGTTTAGTAGAGTTTTTCTATGTCAAAGGCCTATTGGTTATAATGTCATACATGGATGGTTCAATACATGAAGATGAAATGAGAAATTATGGCGTGCACAGTGAGGTTGTGGGAAGAGTTTTTACAGTATATGCATGCTATTTCATAGAATGTGAAATTAAAAAAATCAAAGTATGAAAGCAACTACACACAAAACACATGACGAAAACGGGTTTGATAAACCTGAACAAAATGTCAATTAAAGATATGGAAAAGGTTTTTTCAAAGCATTTGAAAACACCCACCCATGAAAGCCCAAAAAAGAGAGTTTTAATTGAAAAAATTATTTAAAAAAATAATAATAATACCGAAGGGAAAGCATAACAACATAAAACAAAGAGTAAAGGAAAACATAAGCTCGTAAGAATGGATGAAGAAATCATAACAAATCACAACAAAAGAATTCAAATGTTAATTCATGATAATTGGAGAAATGATCCCACACATGATTTTTTGTTTAAATGTACAAATAGATAATCCTTCTAAATAATACAAGAAATATAAGTCATGTAGGATGCTATTATATATGGAGCAAATAACTTTCATTTCCATGTTCATGTCGATATGCCACTTAAATATTTTGTAATACCAAAAGACCCATGCCTAAAGGCACTCCTGTGTAATATATGTGGTGTTTGCTCTCAAATGTGCTTACTTTATTATTTTGAAATAATTGAGTTACTTTGAATACAAAGTTCAGGTATGGAAGTTGTGAGCATTATGTTCTATTGGGGTGGAAAGATTTTGTGAAATCGCGATGAAGGTGTGTCGTACGACACCGAACCTCAGGGGTTGTATAATGTGCACAGGGGGATAACATCGGGCGAATTGGAGGCTATGATGGTGCCGAAGGTTGGTACGCATGGGGAAATAATGTGATTAGAGTTTAAATGTAGACTTCCATGTCAGGGGAAGTATAGGTTGCTGCTAATCAAAGATAATGAGACCTTAAGTAATGTCTTAGAGCTCCCACATAAATTAGGCCCTGATTATTTTTTGGAAATCTATGAGGAGAAGGGGAGCAATTTTGGTGGCACAGAGATGCCAATTCCGGTGGGCGGGACATTCACTCAAATGTTGACACAATCACAATCCCCTGACAATACACATTCATGGGAGGGAGTGCGAATCGCAGAGGTGGTAGGAACTTGCAAAGGGGTGACAGTTCACGATGAGAAGGGGGAATGGGACGTGGCGATGCTGAAGACGAACAATAATACTTGTTTTAGATTATGCTTGTGGTTATTGTGATAGGTTTGGGAAGCGAAATTTTTTGATGCCCAAGTATTATCGAGTTCAAGGAGGTTCATGTATGGAGCCATCTGACAATCAAACAGGATATGGTTTATCTGACGCTGCTCGTCTGAAGTGGCCCGCACTATTTATAGAGCGGGTACAACTGGAAACCTTAAGTCAAGAAAATCAACTTAAGGTGCCAAAAGCACGTTTTGTTGAGATCCAAAAGGAAAATCCTGATAATGTTGATCGACTATGTGAAAGATTACAACGTGAGACTTCTCAAATGCGCCGTAGGTTAGCCCGCGATATGCAACTATACATAGTTAAGAAGGATGCCCAGAAGAACAGAACAGAACCAAATGTTGCGGCTATGAAGGGTATCATGGAGGATCCTGAACTTGTCTCTGACCCTGAGCTTTTGGATTATTCAGACTCTGAGATTGCCGATTTAAGCGCGAATTAGGTGTTTATGTCTATACTTCAGCAATATTAGGTTATGCATTAATATGTAATGTG